ATGCCATCCTCTCCTGGGGATTTTCCCCTTTTCATATTTTTAAGAGCGTACTCTACTTCCTTTGGCAGTATTTCAGGTATCTCACTTTGGTCTGTCGTTACATTTACAGGTGAAATCCTGATCTTTGATGAATATAGTTCTTTGTAAAATTCCTCAACTCTTCTTATAATTTTTTTCTCTGCACTTTATAACCTCGCCGTGTTTATCTTTTAAAGATATAATTTGTTGTTTTCCTCGGGCCATTCTATGTTGAAGAACCTTTTTGAGGCTCTTTCCTTTCCTTATTGTTTCTTCAATCATATCCATGTTCTTTTTCCTCTTTTCTTCTCTCAGCTTTTGTTGATAAGTTTATTTAATTCTGCTCTCTCTATTTCATCTCTGCCTGAGCACATTTGTATATTATTCCTCTTTTGAATGAGATGATTTGTTTCTATTGAATATGTAATGTCTTTTTTCCATTCATTTTCCTATTTTTTTCTGCAGTCTCTCTCTCTTTTTGTTGTTAGATTAGAATTCGGATTTTCAATGTCATCTTCATTTTCTGCAAATGCTTGAAATCTGTTCCTAAGTTCTACCTGAAATATGTCCTTTTGTTCTTTTATCCTATCTAAACGCACTTACTTGCTGTGGATTAATTTGTTTCTTTCTGCTTTAAAATCAAATTTTGTTGTGCATGCAACCATTCTATGGTCACTTCTTATATAGACTTTATTGATTACTATCATATTTTTAACATAATTGTCTTTGATATTATGAAGTCAATCTCATTCTAAGTTGATCCATTTGGACTTCTCCAAGTCCACTTTCGACCTTCTCTTTTTTTTAATGTTCATTATTCTCATACTATACTTTTCCACAAAATGTACTAACAACTCTCCGCGTGTATTTATTTCACCTACTCCAAACTTTCCTTCACTAGTTTCACCGTTTTGCTGTTTACCGACCTTTGCACTAAAATCTCCCTTCAATAAGGTATATTTTATGGTTTCTTGGTCCATTATTTGGCTGAGATCATCATAGAGACTGTCTATTTCGTCTTCTGAACTTTGAGATGTTGGCGCATGTACCTGAATTACTTTGAGAGTGTATCTTTTACATAGTCTTACAACAGTCCAAGCTATTCTATCTGATACACTCTGAAATTTTAAAATATTCCCAGCAAGTTTTCTATTTATTAAAAATCCCGCTCCACCCACTTTGCCATTTGGCCCTCCTCTATGGTAAAACAAGTGACCGCCCTCTCTTAGCTGTATCACCTCTTCTTCCTTCCCTGAGTCCCACAATATCCCAATCTGTCTTTTTCAATTCGCTCACAAGATGTTCCAGCTTATGGTCCTCTACAATGTTTCTAACATTATAAGTATAGATGGCCATCATTCTCATTCTATTTAATGTCCAAGAGTCTGCTCAGACGTGCTTACTCACTTTCGGTGGCACTCTCCCGTAAGCACCGCAGGCAATGCGGCTGGACCTTTAGGAGACGATGGTGCAACAGGAACGCCCGGATAAAGATTTTGTGTGCTTGTCATGGTCTCAAATGGGGGTTTTGTGGAGTAAAGTCTCAACTTCCTTCCACAAATGAATATTCTGAAGAGACGCAAGATTGGGAAGAAAGAAATGTAAAGAAGGGGAAACAGACCGAGCAAACTTGTTTCGGTCCAAGGTTTGAAGCCCTGGCCTGAAATGTGCCAACCCGCCCTCAAGGTTAGCACCTGGCGGAAAATAGTTTAGAGATAAACTTTAAACTATTTAGGTTAGTCACCGCTTGTCAATTACGCGGGGAGGAATCATTGGAATATAGTGATGGATGGGCGCCACCCACCAACCACCAATATATATATATATATATATATATATATATATATATATATATATATATATATATATATTTACACACACACACACACACACACACACACACACACACACACACACACACACACACACATATATATATATATATATATATATATATATATATATATATATATATATATATATATTATATATGTATATTATGTATGTATGTATATATATATATATATATATATATATATATATATATATATATATATATATATATTATATATATTATATAAATATATATATATATATATATATATATATATATATATATATAATATATATATATATATATATATATATATATATATATATATATATATATATAAATATATTTATTATATATAGATATATGTGAATATTGATATATATATATATATATATATATATATATATATATATATATATATATATATATATATATATATATATATATATATATATATGTGTGTGTGTGTGTGTGTGTGTGTGTGTGTGTGTGTTGTGTGTGTGTGGTGTGGGTGTGGGTCTATACAAGTGTGGTTGAGTACGCAGGGTGTGAATAGAAAAAAAAAAAACATATGTCTTTATTTGTATATTAATAACACATAATCTAATAGGTGCATATGTACATATCATAAACCTTTCATAATAAAAATGTAATCAAAGAAAGGCCTCATTAATGTGAGTTTTTTTTTTTTCTGAAAAAATATTAATTACCTAGAAATCATGGAGAGAAAGTTGTTACATTACCAAGCATATTACAATAAACTTTATGAAATGTGTTTATTAAACTAATAGTTGTAAGGAAGTGCTTGCTTGCCGCTCCTAAATCAGTGAGTCGGCAGCATTCCCATTGCCTCCTCCTTGTCTTCGGGCTTTTTGCCGGCTTCGTCGTGCAGGCGCCCTTGCCCTCCAACCAGCCGGTAAACAGTCCGATAAAAGCGAAGACAGGGAGTGTACACCAAGCGCTCCTCGATTTGTCCAGGCAAACATGGGCCTGAAGAAAAGAAAAAGGAAGAGTTTGAGTACTGGTGTAGCTGAGGTTTCTGAATCATGCGCTTGTCCATCGGTGTGGAAATGCAAAGGCGAATGACAGCGAATCATTTTCAGACGCAGTTTGTTGGGAAACCAGTTTGACTCACCTGTGCACACAGACACGAGACTGCTGACTACGTAGTTGAGTACGATTCCGATGCCGCCGTTGAAGCAATAGGAAATATCGTAGATGGTATTTTTAGCCACTCTGAAAAAGATAATCAGCGTCTGTATAATTCATTAAAATATTTACGTATGTGTACCCTATATATATATATATATATATATATATATATATATATATATATATATATATATATATATATATATATATATATATATATATATATATATATATATATATATATATATATATATATATATATATATATATATATATATATATATATATATATATATGTCAACAATCCAAGGTCGAAACGGGAGCTGTGCCTTCCTTTCTCAGTCCAGAGGAAAACAGCTGTTCACACCTTCCTTGCCTGCCCAAAACTTTCTCTTCCGGCGACCAAGCCCTTCGTCACGCCCGGAAGAATGGACACCCAAGAATATGGTACCAGGCCCCTCCGCCAGCAGGACAAGGAGTCGCTGGACATAAGGACGTCTCGTCAGGCAGAGAACACAAAGGGCACCATAGGCAGACCAAGACCTAGCAGAGCAGTCACAGGGTAGGTCACTCTCCACCCTCAGGGAGCGGGGTCATTCTCAAGGGCCACACCTTTCCTTCCCGAATAAGCTACTGCTGAAGTGACTCCTCATCTTAAAGCCAGCCATCACTAACAAGATCCACGCCACCCACACCATGTCTGCCACACTATGTCATGCTGACAACTCATGCCTGTGCTATGCTCCCGACGAAGTCGCTGAAGATGAATTCCCCAACCCACTCTCGCCAACCGACTCGTCTACCTCGCCAAGTCTTTGCGAACGTTTTTTAGCACAAGCCATGAAATCACACTTCGACCCTACACCACCAATACTCTCTCACTACTTTTAAGAGTAAGTGTATCTCTTTAGTGCCAGTTTAACTATTCGCCCTCCCTAAACCCACCCACACCTCACATATATATTGCCTTTTCTTAACGACCAATTTTATATTTCCTCTCTCGTCTCCAGAGGAAAACAGATATTCACGCTTCCTTGCCTGCCCAAGACTTTCTCTTCCGGTGACCAAGCCCTTCGTCACGCCCGGAAGAATGGACACCCAAGAATATGGTACCAGGCACCTCCGCCAGCAGGATAAGAAGTCGCTGTATATAAGGATGTCTCGTCAGGCAGAGAACAGAGAGGGCACTAGAGGCAGACAACTCAGTTGTCAACATAAGAGTAGGGGGGCGTTAAGGTGATGGTGAATTTAAGGGGACTTTGCTTGAGGTGTTTGTTGGGGAGGTAAGGGTGTGGCCCCCGAGAGTGACCCTGCGCCCCAAGGGCGGAGAGTGAGGAAAGTGACCTCCGACCCTGTGACTGCTCTGCTAGGTCTTGGTCTACCTCTGATGCCGTCTCTGCCCTCTGCCTGACGAGATGTCCTTATGTCCAGCGACTCCTTGTCCTGCTGGCGGAGGGGCCTGGTACCATATTCTTGGGTGTCCATTCTTCCCGGCGTGACGAAGGGCTTGGTCGCCGGTAAGAGGTTCCGCAGGCAAGAGAAAGTGTGGAGCACAAGGAAGGTGTGAACAGCTGTTTTCCTCTAGACTGAAGAGAGAAGGAAGACACAGCTTTCCGTTTCCACCTTTGGGACGGAAGCGGATTTGTATTGAAGACATATATAACATATATATATATATATATATATATATAGGATATACTTAATGATATATACGTGAGCTACTATGAATATATAGTATATATATATATATAAGTATATATATGTATGCATGTAGGTATGTATGTTATATGCTATGCCATATATATATCACTTATATATATATAATATATATATATAATATATATATATATAATATAGTATTATACTAGCGTATAATAATTATATATATAATCACTATATATATATCTATATTTATAATATAGTATATATATATATATCTCATATATATATTATCATACATATATAGGGTATGTATATAATAACACACAACACACACACATATATGTATGCATTAAATATATATTGCTTGTGTGTGTGTCTATATATAATATATATATATATATTATATATATATATATATATATATATTATACGATATATAGTATATACTATATATATATATATATATATAATATATAACTATATAATGTAATAGTATATACACACTCAGTATAATAAATTATATATATTATACTATATATTATATATATATATATATACTATATATACATATATATATATATATATATATATATATATATATATATATATATATATATATATTATATATATATATATATATGTATATATATAACACCATCACCCACTTTCTCAGCCTTTCCCATGCTTAACTAGTGATTAGTGATTTTTCGAGTCAAGGGCATCTAATCATTCATAGATATTCAAAAGTTTATCTCTTCCTCTCTGCTCATGCTTCGAGCCCAAATCCGAGTCGCTTTGTGCTCGCGCTCCTGGGGAAGGTGTCTCGCGAGAGGCCTCGCCAGATTACAGGGCTCCTGCCCGCTGCGAGACGACCTTTAACGATTGTCAGCCAAGCACATCAAAAGAAAGGCTCGACTTGAAATGGAAGAGAAGAGGGGAAAAAGGCACCGACCCTCAGTCATTCCTCTCAACGCTCCCTGTCAGTCTAACCCATCCTCAAATCGTGAATGTTAAATAATACACAACTTATTCTTTAACTTGACCGAAAACGAGTGAACAAATATGAAAATCTTTATAACTAAGGAAACATTTTTGAAGTCTAAAGGTAAAAGTGATAAGGAAATTGAGCTACTATTAAACTTTCCATGCCGCTCAAAAAAACACCAAAATGCATTATTGAACGAAGGAACACACTTTGTACTATATACTGAACAGTCCTGTTTTAACACCTACTTTGCTGGGGCTGCGGTTGTGTTCGTGGCAATAGTTAGAGTGGCGTTGGCGAGGGCGCTGACGGTGGCATTCAGAAGGACTCCTCCCACGGTCTCCTGGGGACAGCCCTCAACGGACAGCGGGAGACGCACTGGCTTTTTGCCACTCACGAAGTACCTTCCGATCACCATCCATATGTTGAAGACAAGAGAGACCGACAAACCTGCCGTTGCGCCCTAGGAAGGCGAATGAAATACTGGAAGATGGCCTTTATGCTTAAAGGTTATAAGAGTTATTAAGCAGAAAATGTCTAGGCAGATCCACCTCTGTACTGTAACTTTGGTTACTTTGGTGTTGGCCCAGGGAGCGCATAGGGGCTACCCAAGAAGAGCCCGGGGGCCCGCGGATGGCAGCGCTGATGAGAGACAGAACGTAGTTGATGGTGCCAAGTTTCCCCGCCAGGAGGCCGAAGCCGGAGGCCGGTAATACTGGCTGCAATGAGGCAAGTAAAGTCCTTTAAAAACGTAGACATGCATACATTTTATTTATTTAAATTGGCAAGATGAGTATATTCAATATGACCTCTTGAATTGGCATTTTTATTTATTCCTGTTAATGTCAATTAACTGGGGATATCAGTCACCGTTATGACTTTTGAAGACACGGATTTCTTAAAGCGATTAAGTTTTTTGGTCACACGCACAAGGATACACCCTCCCCCCCAACACACACAATTACTCAAATACAGGATTCTTTCAGTCTTTGTCCATCATCACTTTTCATAAGGATTGTGCTGTAAGAAAAAGACCAAACATTTTTAAAACTGAGATTCGAGATTCCACTTAGAGCTCAGCTCGTCCCTGTTGAATATTAAAGTTACGTTTTGTTATTGCTGTCAAAGGGTGTGCAGTCGATGTACAAAATTGCTTGAATCTAATATCCGCTCGACTTTTAAATGTAAATCACATTTGTCACTGACAAAACATATTTTCCTTTGTAAGTACCCAGCACTTGAGAATATTGCTTATCATGTAGGTAATGAAATGAGAGTACATAGCAGCTATTAGGTCAGCGGAATGGCTAAATGAGAATGACACATATTAAGCAATTTTCTTAATCCTCTCCCCTCGGGCTCTGGAAGCGCAATTAACTCTGTAACGACGATTCTGGTAACGACTGCCATAGCGGGAAGCAACGAAGCCGTGCAAGGCGACAGACAGACGTCTCTCGTGAACCTTTTGAGTTGCCAGCATGGCTTTGGTATACCAACAAAAAACAATATGCAAAGAAAGAATATCTGGTATTGAATATATGATTACGAGAAAAAATATAGATGAAATATGAGTAATTAGTGTTGAACTTGCCTTAAGCAATATATCCAAAACGGAATGAAAGAAAATGTAAATCACAAGCAGTAATTTGAAATCCATTTCGTTATGATGCCTTAAAAATGCCGGCTTTGGAAGTATTAAAAAAAACCCAAGGGACTAATTAACTGTTGACGACAACGCTGTACACAGAGGAAGGTAAAAAAGGAAAATATGTATCAATACTTGTGTGTGTGTATTTATAATGTATGTTATACCATATATAATATATTATATATTAATATATACATATTTATGCATGTCTATATATCATATTATATGAACAATATGCTTAATATATGTAATATATGTATCTAATGTGTGTATGTGCATATACAGATATATATATATATATATATATATATATATATATTATATATAATATTTATAGTATATATGCATGTATATATGTATGTGTATGTGTGATATTATTTACACACACAATTTCACACACACCGCCACATGCGGCGCGCGCAACAACGCACACACACACATACACATATATAAATCATATATATACATATATGTATGCATATATTAATGTATTTTTATATATATACACATCTGTAATCGCATATATATCACCTTTAGCCACACACACATACGTGTGTGTGTGGTGTGTGTGTGTGTGTGTGTGTGTGGTGTGTGTGTGTGTGTGTGTGCTGTGGTGTGTGTGTTGTTGGTGTGTGTGTGCTGTATGACGAAGACAAAACAAATCCATTTTGTAATTTTCACATCTTTATCTTCTGTCCTTCAGTAAAACGCAAGGTCACTGTATGGTCACTGTATATTGATGCACATTTGCAATTTCGCTGAATTCATCTGCAAAAATGTGCTGGGATGCTGTACTCATTTAAGGAATATTGCATTTTTGCACACCAGACACCGAAAATGGAAGCAATATGAATTCTAAACGATAATGTTCGTTTCGAGCAGCGAAAATGAGGAGCAAAGAACATTCAAATTCACCAAAAGTCTCGGCAACAGCAAGAACAAAGCCGAAACCCAGTT